AGAAAATCCAGCAATGCTAGAGCAATCTGATAAAGGGAAAAATAAAAGTAATAAGTAAAATGTTTTTAGAAATTTATGTACAGATTCAATCTCTCAATCTTACTCTTTTTATCTACACAAAACCCTGTATGTATGGTTAATAGATTACACATGATTATATATATATTATATATATATGATTACACATGTATATAAGTATGATTACATACATATATATGTGTATATATATTTTTTTTATCTGCTACTCAGTTTTTTACTCAACAATTCTTCAGTTAGTTGGTCTAGATTGGGAAACTAAATTGAACAGTGATGTTATAGAGAAAGATACATTTTAACTTAGCTTTTGCTCAGGATTGAGAATTGCTGTTCTGATACAAGCACCTCTTTTTGTTGTAATAAAGTATAAAATGGGCATTCTACAGTGAATGAGCCTTTTTTTACACTGTGATTTCCATCAATGTATAATTAAAAGTGGATTTCCTTTTCCTTTTTGGTTGGTGGGAGGGAGGGGCTGGCAAACCTGGTTAAAGGAGGGAGAACAAAGAGAACTTTCATGAGTTCCTCTGCAAACAGTCGATCAGTTACAATTCCTAGTGTTCGAATAGCTGCGCCATTCTAAAGAACTTCTGGAATAAAAAAAGTCAAGCAGGGGGTCCCAGGAAAATCCAACCCGCATGCCAACTAACGGGAAGAAAGAGAAAGGCAGGGGGAAAAACCCTATCTTTTGTTGTAAAAAGAACTAATGAAGCCGCTGTTAGAACTGTCCACAGCGACACAACAAGGCTGTACACCCACACACATTGTTCAAATGCCAGTCATCCCTCGGTAATGGGAAGAGGAAATGCTGCGATTTAAAGGAGGTGGTGGCACACTCTACTCTTTAGAGTTTAACTTTGCAAATCTCAGGGAGGCACACTTTGGCCAGTGCGAACTCCCAGAAGTTTGTGCAAAAACGCACAAGGTTTTCTACTTTGGTCTTAAGGAAGAGATGGACCAGTGGGGGTAAAATCCCATTGTCATTATAAATTGCTAATTAAATAATTATCAATTAGTTGGGCAGACGGAACTCATTCCAGTGTATTCCTCAGAGAGCTGTCAATAAGGCAAAACAGTAATTTTGATTTTTTTTTCCTTTACAATTTTCTTGCCCAGAGGTGCTAAATAGAGATAATATGTGATATATTCTATGTGAGTTTTTCACATAGCTATTATGACTTATTGACCATATATAAATACCATTTTAGCAAGCACACATGAATTTTCATTCTAGGTGCACAGTATTATTTTTCACATAATAACTGATTGGCTCTTTTTTCAACAAACAAGGCAATATAATGTGTATTTTCTATTAATGAAAAAAAACCTCCAATGCTACATTTTATAAAATATCTTACAAAGTATTTTAGAAAACAAAAATGTGAGCTAGCCAAAAAAATAGAAGCTGTGTCTGCATGCTTAACTGCGAATGTGTTTTGTTTAAAATTGTACGTGTATGCACTTGCAACATTGGATGAATAATTTTAAAACAACTACTTATTTTAGGAAATAATTATAACAAAGTAGAAACATTCAAGAGTAAATAAGTATTTATGTACATATGCAATATATGTACACATATATGATATAAAAAGTAAATACGTTAAGTACTATTTATTCATATGCATATTTAATTGTGAGTTTGTCACCTATGATTTAAAGATGAGCATTGATAAGTTCCTCAGAATTTTCCTAATAATGAAGTCATTGTTCAGTTTTCAGGGGATGAGATTTTTCTTGAAGCCTAAATCAGGGCTAAGTGCATAAACAAAACCCAAAGAATATGAAATTTGGAAAGATGAGAATTGAAATCCTAAAGAATTCAGTTACATTTAAATATGAATGGGTTTGCTGCAGTCCCGTTATGTATGTAGATTATTTCTGCCTTTGTAGAGAAATACGGAACTCAGAACCTTTCCAGTTCTCATCTTTGTTAACTGTGAATTTGAAAAGGGTTAGACATTAACTAAAAATGTTAGAAAATTCAGTGGCATGTTACAGAAACCAACTAAGTAAGATAAGTTTATTTTAGAAGCTAGTGAGAAAAACATTTTTCTTCCCCCATGGGATATTTTCTGTGGTAAATCTACATAAAGTTCAATTTTGTTATGAAAATAATGGCAACATGTTCAAGTTTGACTTAAAATCACTTATTTCCACAGGACCATCATCTTGAATACACAAATGCAGCACTCCTTATTATATCCACCTAATTACTTCACAACAGATAAAAGGTGTCTCTTGTAACAGCCTGATGTCCCTTCTAGGCCATAGTTTACTTTTGAGGACTTAGAATCAATTGACATCTCCAAATCTTAAAGAACTTCATTATGGCAAGGTCCTTAATTTGATTTACTTTAAGGAATACTTAATGGTTAAAGGTCCTTACTGTGTTGTTTTATTGAGTTTTTGTTCATGGTTTAGGATTGATCCACTTCAGCCTTTCAGCAGGGAGTAGTTTTCCAGGGAGGCCCCAGCAGGACTCCAAATCAATAAGGTTAATAGACATGGGGCCATGCAGTCAGAGGTGATATGGCTGGCATTTCTGATGCCAATGAAGATAAGTTCTGATGTCACTTTTGTGCTGGCAACAATGTCACCCTGATTACCTGGAGCATAGACTTGTTTCCTGTTAGCAGGACTGGGAATGACCGTTAATCTGAATTATTTTCAGGGACAACTCAGTTTTGGTTTTTAACTCTTTAAATTACGAGCCTCCATGATTTCTGAAATATCAACAGCTCCCTCGCTATAGAAAACACAAGTTTTCACCGCTTTGTATTTCAGTACCTTCATCAAGATATGATGACCATAAATTGTTAACCCAAAAAACTAGAAGATACGTCGTCTGGGGCAGGGGGGAAGGTGGGGGTTTGTAAGGAACCCATGTAAACAGAGGGTAAAATAACAAAATCTGGGAAAGAAAAACTAGATCCAGAAAACCCTGTCTATTTAGTAGTCTTTAGAAAGGAATGTGAAATATAAACTAGTTAAGCAAAGAATAGTTCATTTCTATTCCTCCAATAGCCTAAAAATTTAAGTTTTTTAAGAAGCCAGTAGAAAGTTAGAAACATTTTTTTAAGATTTTATTTATTTATTTGAGAGGTAGAATTACAGACAATGAGAGGGAGAGACAGAGAGAAAGGTCTTCCATCTGCTGGTTCATTCTCCAAATGGCTGCAATGGCCAGAGCTGGGCTGATTGGAAGCCCGGAACCAGGAGCTTCTGGGTCTCCCATGCAGGTGCAGGGGCCCAAGTGCTTGGACCATCTTCCTCTGCTTTCCAGGCCACAGCAGAGAGCTGGATCAAAGAGGAGCAGCCGGGACTAGAACTGGCGCCCAAATTGGATGCGGGCACTGGAGGCAGGTGATTAATCTACTGTGCCACAGCGCCGGCTCCAAAATTACTTTCAGGGTTTGCAAAAGTATAACATTTATTGATATTACACAGGTACTAAAGCAACTGACTCCAAAGCAAACAGATTCATCTCTTCCAATGTTTCAAATAAGTAAATAAATATAAATAAATAAATAAGCCAGAAGTACTAATAAGTAGTAGTCTAGAAAATTTAACCATCTGTCTGAAACAAAGCTTGACTATGCATGTTATTTCAGATAACTAATGCTGATTTTACTTACAAAATAAAGGGACATCCTTACCATAATGTCATTCACAAAAGGATCAATTTAACTTTTTCCTACTTTTACCAACTCTTTTTTCAGGAAGCAAACAAACCCAATGAATTATCTAAAGTCTTTAATTCTCCAAGAATACCCTTATGAACTTTATGATGTACATATATATTTTGGATGTATCCAACCTCATGTTTCCCCATTGGTTTTGCTTGCCATGTTTCAAAGATAAAGACTTATAATGTCTTATGTAATTATATTTTTCTCTGGACAATAGCTACCAATGAAGACAGAATGTATATCAGCAAAGCAATGTAGCAAATTGAATTAGGATATTCTTTTTATTGTCTCCCATTCTCATTAAACCTGTTAAATAGTAAAATATATTGAGTTAACTTGAAAATGCTTTAAGTCTGTGGGAAACTAGATTCTTTGAATTGTGCTGGGAGATTCTCTGTTAATTGAGTTGTAATCAATTGTTATTGATCATCAGTCCTTTTATGATGAAGAAGTTAGAGATGATGATGATGATGATGTAATATTAATACAAAATGATGGTAACGTGTTCTATTAATCTGAAGAGGATTTGATTCTAAGCCAAATGTACATAGGTTCATATGGTGGTTCTGTAAGAGTCAAGAAAAAAAAAATACAGAAGCAAACATCTCGGACTTTTAACTAAGTGGGGACTTTCTTTAATTTTCATTGTGTTTTCCATTTTCATTTTTTAAGTACTTGCCAGACTTCTACTGAAATTGAAATTATTTACTGAGAACAAATAGCATTCTTTCTTAAGTGTCTATTATACCTATCTTACAGGAGGAAAGCAGTTCTTTTGCCAGTTGTACATTTAAAAAAATTATGTTTAATTTGAATAAATTAACATATATTGTCTATAAAAATTAATAGTAAAAAAAGCAACAATAAGTAGGAAAGTCATTTAAATTGAGTATTTTATGAGAGAGAAAAAAATCTTTGTTATTCATGGGGCAGCCCAGATAATTTGATGTGCTCTGATGTAAATTTGGGGATTGCTTTAATTTCAAAACATATTTTTTCACTTAATAAGGGAGACAAAAGAAACTTTCACCCAGCATCTCCTGTTTGTTATCTAGGAATGTTTTGGCTTCTCAAATGTGAGAACATGATTGTTTTTATTTCCAGGAGGAGATAATAACACTGAAGCAATAGAAAAGAGTCAAGGCAGCTTGCACAGCACAGGAAGTTCACAGCCAGAGACTTAATTTCTCACACAATGTACTGTGCAATGGGCCCATTAACATAGATGAATAGGCTCTTTAAAGGTTTTTTTTCCCTTCTTCTTCTTCTTCCAGATACGCAGCTGCCGCTGAATGGTGATATGTTAATAAGGTACTCACTTGCCTATTCTTCAGGTACTCTGGCTTTCTCTACCTAGGTAATCTCCATATAGGAAAAGCTATTAGGGGGCTGTATCTGCTACCACACCTTCAATTATATTAACACCTGCACTGATAATCCACGAAAGGTAAACTAGTAGGGGGCCTATGGCCTTAGTCCAGCCCTTTCCTCCCCACAAAGTTACATCTGAAGAGTGGGGGGCAGAGAAAGAAGCAGGAAAAAAAAAAAGGAAAGTCACTTTTATTACACATCAGTGGGAACCTTCTGAAAAAGCTTTCATGCCTAGGAAATTGTTATTTCTTCAAACAGCTGACAGCCTGCGGAGGAAACTCTTAATGGAAACCCAGCTCCTGCATTGTTATGCATGGCCCTCATGTAGATTCAGGGGGGTGGATTAAGTTAGCTTCCAAAGGGTCTATTGTGTGTAGCATTAATTTGCAGGGCTCTTGATATTTGAGTTTGAAGGTTTACAACCTCAGTGTTTACTTAGATGAACTACATCCTGGTTTGTTTATTTCCGTCTGCAGTCTCTTATTTCCTAGTAAATGTTACATTTATATTTGTTAACAGCAAGAATGTTGTTATAAATCTGAAAGAAATAATTACACATGCTTACACTCATTCAAGTTAAAGCCTTGATCCTGGTTCCACCAGAGTCACCCTTCACTGTTATGGGTATAGAAGAATAAACAGATAAATTCATTTCTCAAGAATATTTATGCTGCCTAGCTAAAGAGCAGCATGAAACTAATAGAGTGTAGAATGAATGTGTAATTGTGGCCTGTCCCAAAGTGCTAACTTTCAATGAAATTAACATAATTCCCCTTATTCCTCTCATATAGCAATGTTATAAATACACCATCCCCCAAATCTCTGTCTTTCCCTTCCAGATGGAAAATTTTACTGTAGAATTGATCATCACTTTCTCTTTTCAATTGTTCGAATCGTTACTTGTTAGTTGCAATTTTCCAATTATGGATTAAAAAAATGCTTCCAAATTGTTATTTGCATACAAATCTGTGTGATGTTTAGGTAGAAGAACGCTCCAAAAGTCTCATCTTCCAAGATTAAACTGCCAGCTTTCATTCAGAAACTTTTTCAGCGCCACCTCTAGCCCTACTCCCTCCTTTTCCTCCTTGTATTGTAGAGGCAGTTGCTAACATGAATTTAAAATTCAATATGAATGGCTGGGAAAGGAAAAAAAAAAAAAAAACATGCTCATTGGAACCAACTCTGGTCTTAATCTGGATTTAGGGGCTTAATTGAATAGAAGTACATTATGCTAAATAACTGAAGTATCTATTATTTTGAAACTTTTTTAATAGAAAACAATAAAGACAACATGTTGAATATTTTATTGCATATTTGATGCTTTTGGTTAGTGTTTTTGAATGTCTTACAGATAATTTGAAATATAGCTATTCATGGAATTATTCATGTAGCATTTATATTAATTGGTCTTGTGATATAGCAGTGAAATGGTTTATTTTGTTAGACATCAGAGAACAGGTAAATTTGGTTGGTCACTGAAACTTTTTCTTCATTTATACAAATTATGTTGATAATTTATCAAATCCCTAAGCAATTATTCTATAATTTTCAACCTAGTATACTACTTCAATCTTAGAGAAGAACTCCCAATAAAATAGGTATAGTTGGACCTCCCTTCTCCCAAAAATTGTAGTTGCCAAACTTCATATAATTGAAAGGTTTTATATTTATTACTGTTGATTATAACCCTCACTATTTTAAAATCTCCTTCCCCCCCTTTTTTTTTTAATTTCAAGGATGAACTGTTAATTTGGAGAACTGTTAGGAAAATTCTGACATACTGATTCACAGTAATAAACCCTTGAAGCAAATTTCAAGGATCTATATATTCTTAGCCTGATGGGTAATTGTGAAAGGTCGGTCTTATTACCATTGCATTCTTTGCAACTTTTGTTTTTAATCATGCAATTTTCCAGACTGTTCCTTTCTCTCCCCATCTTTCTCTTTCTCTCTCTCTCTCTGAAAGGCTATCAATATAAAAGTAGAATTTAACTGATTTATACAGTTATATTTCTTTGGCGCCTATTGTATTCTAGGCACTTTGCAAAGTCTTGAAGATATATGTAGATATAGATATAAATTAGATATAGCTATAAATCAATATGGATATATGAAAGAAATGGCTTTTGCCCTTGTGTAGCTTACTTTGAGGGCAGTCACTGTCACACTGTAGACAAAATAAGTGCTTACTGAATGGATAGATGCATGACAACTGTCTTGGGTGAAGCAAGTTAAGATAAATGGGTTTAGTTCAGCTACTTACTAAAGTAATTCACTGAACATTTTATACATGCCAGGCATAAAGTTTAACCCTGGAAATTTTTGTTAAGAAAATGAAATTCCGGTAAAATTTGTTATAGCAACAGGACTGTTAAGTGGTTTGTACTTTTAAAGATTTCTCAATAGACATAAATTCCCACTACTTTACAAGTGTATGCTGAAGAGCTGCTTCACATGTGCTTTGTTCAGTACACATCTGATTTTGACCTTAAAGTTGTTACGTGGGTTGTATATAATGAAATTGCAGTAATTTGGGAAGAACAACAATAATAATGGAAGAAAATACTAGGACCTCAAATGCTGCTCGTAAACTGTATAAAAGACTTTGGTCCAGTACATAGTGCCGAGAGAAGCTAAAGAAGGGGAAATCAATTTCTGGTTACTGTAAGGATGATAGTTAGTGATAAGGATGATGACGGAGACAGCTGTCTCTTACACTGAACTGACTCGATGCCAAATTCTGTCCTGAAGGCATTATATTTATTTACTGATTAAAGTTTCCCAACAGATCTTTGAGGTATGCAATATTACCTCCATCATGCAAAGAAGCAGTTTTAGTTTCAAGTCACAAAGGTAGCAAATTATAGAGCTGAAATTTGAAATCAAGTCTTCCCCTCTAGTCTTTTTACCTAACCACTTCATTACTGCTATCCTACCCTTGTGGTCAAAACTCTCCAGCTATTTCAGGCCTGCTAGGTGCTAAGTTTGTTCTTTCACTATTCCTTAGGAGACTTCTGGGTAGAAGCATTAATTGCCATTTATTATATGAACAGCTTTCAGGACTACAATCCATCAAAGAGAATATTGTAAAACTCTTGTCCAAAGCCTAAAAATAGAACTTTTTCATGACAATAGCTGCAACAATTTTAGAGACGTCTCATAAAATATCAGATAGTTGCCTGCTTCTTGATGGTAAATATGTTTGGGTATTTATGGATGTCCGTATATATGTTTAGATGACTAGATAGAATATCATTGCAAGAATAAGATGGAGAAGGTAGTAATGTACAAAGAGTGAGTTTATGAAGCTTGCAAAGTGATCTGTTTAGAGAATGACACCTGCAAGTCATTGTCATAGTAAGAAGTATGAAGCTTTCTAAAGCTGAATGAGGAATACAAGGGAACCCATAATTTTCTTATTTTCCCAAAAAGAAACTATAGTATGTGGAGGGAAAGATGAAGAACAGCAGCTGCAAGCAGAGCAGGATTAGATGTCTGATCCACTAATTTGACTACTGTAAAAACATATTTGATCACTGATGTTATTAATGGAAAGGCTGATAAAATGCTATGGAGTTTGTCGACAACACAGTCTCTTCATGCTTCTGGAGTTGCCATTTCTTGTTGTTATACTAGAGGGACTTACTGGCGGGGCTTATCCACATTTGGAATCATAGTAGATTGATATACATACAAAGTAAAACCAAATGTATTTTTAGTTAGAGATTTTGTTGGAAATATTGACTTTAAAGGTTTTTTTAAGGTGCAAATAAAACTAAAGTTGATAAAGCTGTTAATATGAAGTGATAAGGAGCAATATCTATTTAATAATTTTGGGTACAAATGCATACAAGTAATGGAAGGAGTTCATATTTGTGAAGTTTAAATGAGTGAGCATATTTTCTCCTTATATGTGACACAACCAAAATATGAAAATTTTGATTTTGGCTTCACTGGAAGAAGGTGCCAGATAACTCTAGGAACAAATCTTTCCTATCCCAGTTACTGTGAGGCCTAAAGGTAACACCTAATCATCGGGCTGCTGTATTTCCTTATCTGAAATGATGATGAGAATGCCGACTTGCAGAGTTGTAGGGAGAGTTCAAGGACATATACACGATACATTGAACATAGCGATTACTCTGAGTGTTGAATAAGTGGGGGTCAGTTTAGTTATGACTGGGTACCTAGGAAATCAAGACATCAAAGGGGAGAATGAGAAAGAAGGCTAATAGTAACTAAAAAGGAAATATAATAGATGAAAAAATAATTAAAAATAGCCAGCACTGGGAAAGTCAATAAAAGTCAGAAAGCAAAATACGAATACACAAGAGAATTCAACTGAGTGGATTGTCCATGCAGTACTATTCTGGCTTTGGGAACTGCGTGTTCAAAAGAAAATGTAATACTCCAGTAAAGAGGAGGGAAAACAAAACAAAACAAAAAAACAATAATAAGAAACAAGGGGGAAATTAAACAAAAGAAGAAAATTAGATTAAATGTAGAACTTTTGTCAAAGAGCAGTTGAAAAATGCAAAGAGAACAATATGATAAAACAAAAACCCTGGGAAGTCTTGAGAAGACAAAAGGAAAACAAACATGGGAAAGACAGAAAAAAAAAGCAAACACAACAGGGTCTAAAGGATTGAAGCACACATTTCCTCCAACCAGTAGAACACACATGACTCCGCTTTTAATTCTGACAGCAAAAAGATACCTGAATTGAGGAAAGGGCTTGCATGATATTAGAAAGGAATGATTTTTAAAATACCAAAGTTGAAGCAGAATGCCATGTTTAAGCATGATATATGTGTCTGTGTTACCAAATGCAAGGAAGTTGGGATTTTAGCATGGAGAAACTGCTTGACTGCACTATAAATTTCCCCATCTGGATGACAGAAATGAGGAATTTCATTGTTTACTCAACCACCCAACCAGAGAGGAAGCATTTTTCAGATGCAGTTGCATCAATGAATAAAATAGTGATCTTTTCTAGAAAAAGATCCTTTAGTTTAATTTTCCTGATAACATAAATGAAAATATTTCCAGCCATACATTAAACCACCTAGACATTCTTTGGGGATCAATTCCTTCTCTGCTGTAGCAAAGTAGCACATGCATGTCTACTACAAATCTTAAGGCAAATAGATTTGCTCCTATTTCCTTGTCATTGCATGAAGCATCACTGTTTTTGTTATTATTATTTATTTATTTTTGCTAATAGCTGCAATTCAGAGACATAACCCTATAACCTCTTTAATTGTTAAATACCCTGTGCTTGTGGTTACATTTCTTTGCAATGGAAAAAAAAAATCTCATTAACAAACTAGTTCTGTGCGTCCTTAACATTGAGGCCCCTGTTCTGCAGCTGGAGGCAGCTCCCTGCTCAGCCCGCAGTGCAGAGTGACACAGACAGGCGACATCGTCACTGAGCACTAACTTCTATTTCACCCAGGCAGACATTTCAGAACCGCGGCAAGGCATAACAGAGGCAAAGGTAATCCTTCTGTTTTTATATCCTATTCTAACAAAAACCGAATATATTCACCTTGAAAGGACAACTGGGCGAAAGGATGTGTGTGTAGCAGGAGGGAGGTTCTGTGTGAAAACTGATAAGCAGGAAATTAATTCACCAATCAGCTAGGAAATAAAGTGCAGACACAGGAAGAGCTGAGAAACATAGATGATACATTTATGATGGATGACAAATAGATGACAGATGATATAGATAAATAGATAGATGATAGACAATTTTTAAATCAAAGTCTGATGCCAAAGGAATGAAATGTTTTTAGGATATAAAAAGGGTGTGAGCTGGTAAAGGTTTTGTTACATGAGAAGTGAATCGTGGGCTATTATCTGGAAGTGGGAGGAGGTGTTTTATTTTACTGGAATCTCCGGGTTGGCAAGGACTTTAGGCACCATCCAGTCTGTCATTAATGATGACCTCTACTACTTTTCTTTTTTAAAGGGGGTAGCTGCAAAGTTTGGGACAAGACCTCTGCAGGCAACTGGAAGCACAGTGTACCCAGGTGGTGGGTCTCGTCTGTGACAATATATTTTTCTGTCTGTCCAATTGAATATGGCTGTAAAGGGAATAAAACTCCATGTAATCTCCAGCAGTGACAATTTAATCAGTTGTAATAGGGAAAGAGTAGCAGAGTCCCCCCATTTTCCTATTTGCATATTTGATTTTTGCATTGGGGAATGCAGGTTATGTTTGTTGCTTCTCATTCAGTTTTCTTATTTAACCTTTTTATGGGCAAATTTTTTACAGTAATATGAGATCTCAAGTCAAGTAAGTCTAAAAGAGAGAGGAAAGATTCCCTTTTTGAAATGAAGCAATCGGTGCAGTGTGCTTTGTGTAATGCTATTCCCGGCAAAGGACGAATGTGCCAAACATGGTTTGCATGCTCTCTGCTTCTGCACGTGATGCATCTGCTATTAACATTCACAGACCCACCCTGAAAATGAAGGCAACTGTTTGGCAAACAATGCAAAATGATGAGGAATATGCCATAACATGATCGCTTTTTTGGTTAATATTTCTTGAAATAGTAAATCTTATTAACTATGTATGTCTAAGGAAGATGGGTTTCTAAGAAGCTTTATATACTTAGGTCAGTTTTATGAGGTTGTGGAGGAGCAATAAATATAGTGAAATTAATAAAATTCATTGCTCCTGTAATTGACAGAGTGATATTATTGCCCTAAATGTAATAAAAGATTCTGGGATAGATTTTAAAATAAATAAGATACAAGTAATTTGAACCCATCATCAATTATCCTTGTGACCTCCCTTGAGTATATTAAAAATCTGGCCAAAATGGTGTTGGGTTTGAATAACCGAAATATGGATAGCTGCTTTTTTATACAACAATGCATGTCAAGCCTCCACTTTTGAAAACACCAAAAGTGTGTTAGGTAATTAAAAAAAATATATAGTTCCCTACTTAATTAAAATTTAGAATCTCTTTGTAAAAGGTGAATGAACTCTGAACCAACATTTCACTGAAAGGGAAAAAAAGGGATGAACATTTTAGTTCTATGTAATTTTACAAAGGAAGAAAAAAGATTAAATAAAAGTTTTGAACTTTTTATGTATCTTATTTAATCTATGTGTATGTATACATTTATATATACACACACACTTCTGAGTAATTACATGTTTATTTGTGTTTACCGATAAATATAAATATTGCTAACCAAATTTCATGAGAAATTACTAAATTTGGTTATCAAAAGATAAGCCACAGCATTGTATCCAAAAAGAGAGCAAATTGCCTTTTTAATTTATGTCCATGAACCACACCAGTAGCAGTACGCAGGCATTAGTAGATGACAGGTATCAAACCCTTTGGGAGTGAGCACAGATTCACATCAGAGTCAAGTACGTAATATGTCAAATTTTGACTATGTTCTTGTTTATTTAAATCTGCATTCTGATGATCACCCTTTCAAAGAAGTTATATATATATATATATATGAATATGTGATCCAACGATTACATATTCAAATTAACCCAGTTTTTGTTTGAATATGGTCTAATGATTGAATGATCTCCAAACACAGAAAATCCTCAGGGAAATATGCTGGTGTTTCAGCACATTTTCTCAAGGCCTGGAGAGTACTAGATATGCCAAGGAGTGCCTTGAAGCATGGAAGCTCTGCTCTACCTACATGTAAGTCCTAGGCTTTAATCACAATGGCTAGGTTCACAGTAAAGCAATTAACCATATGATTGCTTTCACAGAAGCACAACCTCATCAGTATCTTTCCTTCAGGCAAACTGTCAATGCTGGCGCTAGTTAGTGACTCAAGTGGATTCCATTACCTAGGAGGTACAAATCTCTGAACACACAGTTACAAATGCAGAGTAGGTATATTCATCTGCAACCTATTTTTTAGAAGTTGCCATTTAGCAACCAACACTTTAAATTTAAATGATTAAAGAAAATAACTGTTTCATTAAACAAGAGTTCACAAGTATCAGAATAAATATGGAGAAAAACATCTCAATGATAACTATTTGAGTTACAGTTTGCTCACTGATGTTTTTCAGAGGGTTGCTTTGTTGTTGTGTTCTTTGGGGGAAGAGAGGAGTGGGAGTAATCATTCTCAACTCTTAAAATAGAATTTACATAGAGAATTGGAAAGAATTAAAAATGACTGAAGAATGCAATTTGTAATTGAATATACAATTTAAAAAAAACTGTTATCTGTGTGTATACATACAGATACAAATATGTGTATATACATGTGCAGTGTTTAACCTTATTTAACCTTGTAACTTCATTTGCTGGACTTAAGGGATGTATCAAATGTGAACTTGAAGTTTTCTACCATCCTGTTCTTGGGATGTTAATGGGAAATTTCTGCAGGCCTGTTAATAACACTTTTGGTTACTCTCCATATATTCAAAACCAAGCTACTAAAAAGTCTTCATTTTTCCCCCAAACTTAAAAGCCTAGTATAAATGCAAGATCTGAGCGATAGAAATCTTATAATGTGATTTCCATTTACTTTTTCATAGTACCCTAAGTATTTCTCAAATACAATTAAAATGCAATAGGCAACAAGGGGTATTTCTCCATTAAATGCTAAGAAATTTGCCATCTGTATTGCCCAGAGTCAGAGAGACAGTATGAGACTGATGAGCCTTGCTGGGCTGTATTACATTCTGGAATGCCCATCCATATTACTATGAAAAACGTGTTGAAATCATTGGATTGTCCCCTAGATTTCTGCCAACTGAAAGCTAACAATTATTTTATCATCTTCAATAAAATATAATTATGACACTTTAGTTTTGATGATATTGGAAGTCTCTTAAAAGTACTTAAAACAATTAAATGGAGATTCTGTTTTAGAAGTGTCCGAATGATTTGTTTTGAGAAGACTTTTAATAAAGTCAACAAAAACTTTTCTTATAAATCTAATTTTTAATACTGTCTTATTTCCAAATATTTAGATGAATTATGAAGCAGTTTATCAAGTGACTGGGCAAACCATGCCCCATCCAAAATTCACAGTGGTCCTGACTCATCTTGTTCAAAGCAGAGTGTTCTGAGAACTTGGATTTGCTGAGATTGTATGGGTTGCAGGAAGCAAGGCAGGCACTAGAGACCTGAAGGAATAAAAATGCTGAGGGTACCCAATTCTCTCATCATCACTAAGAAAGCAATCCTGATGGAGACCAAGGCACACAAGTCCTTGTATCTATTTCTTTTTAAAATATACATTATTAAAGAAAAATAGATATGCACGTTAATCCATCAGTAGTTAAGAAAAAAACTTTTGCAATACGGAGTATAATTGCGGACTTGAAGAGGGATGATTTGAGAATCAGTGTGACTGTCCCACCCTCTCTGTGGCTGCTGGTTGCAGAAGAGCCTGTGTCTCCCCACAGCCCAGTGCTGGGGGCTCACTGTTTTCCTCCAGTCTATTCTTGGCTGTCGATTCCCCAGTGCTCTTTGTGCACTTTAAGTTTAATTTTGCATTTAAAAACTCAATTGGCTCATCTGTTAAGCATTAAGCAGCTCCCTTTTGAGCCACAGGGGGAGCCCTGGGAAAACCCACAGCTGCTGGAACATGGAAAATGGGTTTAAAAAAAACAAAACCATTTTGGAACTTTAAAGCATTTTAGCAGCCGTGGATTTCCCAATCCTTACCCCCCAAATGGTTCATCTGTTTAACTTTTATCTGGTATTGAAAAACACAAACCAGAGCATTAAATAGCCCTCAAATGACTTTTTGTTTAATACAAAATGAAAGTAAAAGCTAAGCAAGCCATGAGGGAAGAACTTTGAGAAAGCTACGGTCTTTAGTACCTGCAGGCATACTCACCCTCCAGTTACAGAAGAGTCCTGGAGCTCAGTCCTGCCTGCCGGAACCACCACTCCCTTCTCTCCCTTGGTCGCTTAGACACCCTTGCCTGCTCCCTGCCCCACCCCCTGTAACAGGGGAGAGAAGTCCACAATACATTCCAATCCTAGCTAATAAAGTGACAATAAAAATGATGGAAAAGTTAATAGGCTGGGATGTTAATGAAACGCTCAGTCAAAGGTTTTAAGTTTCACGATGATTTGTCATTGAGTAAAAACTCACGTTTCATTACAGTTAGACAGACCTTAGATAAACTAAACTATTCCTTTTTTCCATGTTCCCCCAAATGTTACCCTACTGAGCCTGAAGTCTCCCCGTGGTAGGATCCCAAGTCCCATTCTTTGAAACCAATTCCTACTAATCATAGTAGGACATTCCTACTAAGATAAAGAGTGACAACTGTAAGCCCATGTTTTTTAAAGGTTTTATTTAATAAATATAAATTTTATAGGTATAGCTTATGGAATATAGCAGTTCTTCCTCCCATACCCGCCATCCCACCCCTACTCCCTCTCCCATTCCATTCTTCATTAAGATTCATTTTTAATTATCTTTATATACAGAAGATCAACTCTATCCTAAATAAAGATTTCAACAGTTTGCACCCATACAGACACATAAAGTATAAAGTAATGTGGGAAGACAAGTTTTACCATTAATTCTCATAGTATGTCTCATGAAGGACAGAGGTCCTACATGTAGAGCAAGTGCACAGTGACTCCTGTTGTTGATTTAATAATTGACATTCTTATTTATTATTACGTCAGTGATCACCCAAGGCTCTTGTCATGAGCTGCCAAGGCTATGGAAGTCTTTTGAGTCTACAAACTCAGTCATTATTTAGACAGGGCCATAAGCAAAGTAGAAGTTCTTTCCTTCCTTCAGAGAAAGGTACCTCCTTCTTTAATGGTCCCTTCTTTCCACTGGGATCTCACTCACAGAGATCTTTCATGTAGGCCTTTTTTTTGCCACAGTGTCTTGGCTTTCCAAGCCTGAAATGCTCTTGTAGGCTTTTTAGCCAGATCTGAATGCCTTAAGGACTGATTCTGAGGCCAGAGTGATGTTTAGGGCATTTGTCATTCTATGACTCTGCTGTGTAAGCCCATTATTTCTTCTAAAATCTAATGAAGGCAGACATCCTACATGCCAAAAAAAGCATTGTAAAACTGAGTAAACAGAGCAGATGAAAAGGAGATGCTTGAATTTTAAGGATTCTGTCTAGTAATATTCATTGGTTGGGATAGAACATAAATGAGAAGCTCATTGTAGCCATGGACTAGAGGCATAGCAACTGGGCATGGAAGTGGACAAAAACTTTAGTACTGAAATCTTTCTAAGCCTGGTTGAAGATAGGAAAGGGAAATTCACATTGTTAGAGAGGAAGATTAACAAGGAAGTTGAAAAGATACACAAGAAAATCTTCAACTTCTTTGCATCGTTATGGTCCTGATAAGACTACTGAAATGTCAAACAGAATTCAGTTTTTTTAAATCCACAGGGACTATGATAATTCGTATCAGATGATTAAATAGATTCTAAAGTATGATTCAAGCAATATTATTCATTCCAATGGTCAATATCAGATTTAATATAAAATTAGGATTGAGTGTTCTGTTTATCAGTTACAATCCCTGCATTCCGGATTGGAGCTCCTGGGTTAGATTCCTGCCTCCAGCGTCCCACTGGTACAGAGAGGCAGGAATGATGGTTTAAGTGACCGGATTCCTGCCACTCACATGGGAGACCTGGATGAAGCTCCAGATTTCTTGCTTTAGCCTTGTTCCAACCCCAATCATTGTGGGCATTTGAGGAATGAACTAGTGTATGGGAATTCTCCTTCTCCCTGTGTCTCACTCTCTGTCTCTGTCTCTCTCTCGCTCTCTCTCTTTTTCTGTCAGCTTCTCAAGTAATTAATTAAAAATAAAATTAATAATTCCTTATTCTAGTCCAATTTTTTATGTCAGAATATCTTTGAAATGTTGCATGTTAATTGAGGTAGGCATAAAATAGATGGTTTGTGAGAAACATGTTCACGGAAAATTATCTTCTACATTTTAACATTTTTTTATAATTATTTATTTGAAAGGCAGCATGACAGAGACAGAGGGAGAGACAGAGATAGGGAGTATATCTTCCACCCACTGGTTCATTCCCCAAATGGCTGCAATGGCTAGGGTTGAACAAGGTAGAAGTGAGGAGCATGGAACTCCAAATGGGTCACCCTCATGCATGGCAGTGACCAAAATACTTGGGCAATCTCCCTGTGCTGTTCCAGGAACATTAGCAAGGAGTTGGATTGTAAGTGGAGCAGACTGGACTGGAATCTATGCTCCCATATGGGAAGCTGAGGTCGCAAGCAACAGCTTAAACTGCTATGCCATAGTGGTGGCCTCTCTATTAGTTACTTTAAATAAACATAGTATTTTAAAGTCTTCAAGTTCACTGTTATTTCTTGTTGCTTCTCTGCCTCTCTCATTCCTTCCCCTCCTCTCATGTCTCCCTGCCCAGTATATTCATAAATTTTACAGCTATAGAAGGCAGACATAGATATGGTTACAGCATAGAATAAGAGTGAATATACTCTACAGATTGCTCAAAATTTTTGATATTGTACAATATGATTTCAAATAATTAAAAAGAATGGCTTATTATGCTAAGTGAAATAAGCTAGGCACAAAA